AGAGGAGGTCTCCCTCCTGTCAGTCTGTCTCTCCCTTCCTCTGTCTGTCCTCTCTGCCTCTCACTGTTGCTGTCTCTATTTTAGCTTGCTGCAGCTCATATACTGTCTGTCCTCTCTCCCTAAGTTTCCCTGCTTTTTTTTCTTTTCCCTTTCTGTCTCATCCTCTGCCTTTCTCTCTTTCTCTCCTCCTCTCTTTCTCCCCTCCCCCTGCCTATATTTGTATCTTCCTCTCTCACTGCAGTTTGATTCTCTGTTATTCACTTCCTATGTTGATCTCTGTCCCTCACTCCATTTCTCACCAGTGTTCAAGTCTAAGTTTCTCTCAGCCATTCTGATTATTTTTCTCTCCTTATCTTTCTGCTGCACCCTGATCACTCTCTCTTTGTGTCTTCCTGGCTGTTTGCATCTCTTTCTCTTTTGGTCTCTGCCTCTGCCTATCTCATTTGGTCTCTCTCTCTCTCTCTCTCTCTCTCTCTCTCTCTCTCTCTCTCTTCCCCCCCCCCCCCCCGCCCCTCACCGCGAGGGCATCTCAGGACTTGCCTGCAACTGGAAAGGACTTCACAACTCCATCTGCAGCCTCCACACCTCCACACCACACTCAAGGGAAAGATTCATCTGTTTAATCATGCACCTGTCCGACACCGTGGGAGGATGAGTAAGGGAGGCAGAGACAAAAGATATTTCACTGTCGCATTGTTCTTCAGGCGAGAGGCTCCTACACAGGTGCCTCTTAATATTCCAGCAGTGCCATCAGCCTTACCAAAGAGAAATCACTTCTTCTCGGCCTACCCCTCTGCAGAGCTAATCAATCTCCTTTAATAATGATCGTCTGTTGCTGGCACAGAGAGGAATGTGAACAGAGAAAGAATTCTAGGTGGGGGTCTCCAAACAGGGAGCAGGTAGGAGTTAACATTTTTTTTTTATATGGAGGCAGGATAATGGCAAGGAAAGACCTACATGAAGACAGAGACTGTCCATTTTTTCTCTTCATGTATCCCAGCTCTTAGAACCTTGTGCAGTGTGTAGAAGACACATACTAAATATATGAATGAATTAATGAATTGGGCAAATGAACGAATGAATGAATTGGCTTCAATTTTCCTTGTGCCAATACTTGCTGTGTTTCAGTGCACAAGTCAGTTTTGATTTCTCACCTGCAAAACGGGGATAATAACCATGTCTGCCCTCAGCACCCACTGTGGGAGAGAGGAGAGTCCCAGTAGAGCCCCCCCTGCTTCCCTGATTCAAGGGCCCTGATCCCGCCTGACGTCCTTGCCTGCCATCTGCAAAAAGCAGATCAGGAGCTACATGGGAATTTGAGGAGGCTGACATATCCAGCTCACAGGCCATCCTGAGCTTTTTGTTGGCCATGAAGAGTTGGGAGTTTCCACCCCAATTTTTTTCTGGCTTAATTCTGCAGTATATTGAAAGGGTTCTAGCCAAGAGAGTTATTGTCTTCTCTTTGCCTGGATCTTAAATCTTTATTGAAAGACAGCTTGTTTCAATTGAAAGTATTCAATCACTTTCTCCCTATCTTCCACTCATGTCCCATTTCTTGACTCAGACGGGGCCATTGCAGTAAATAACCTGGAGTGAGGCCCTCAGGGGTTGAGGAATACGTAATGTGGATGGTGAGGGAAAGAAGGCTGTCTCCAGCAACTCCCACCTTCAAAACAATGTCCTTTAAACTGGGCTCATTGAAAATGATCAGTGCCCCACAATCGGACGTCTCACTGGAGTAGCCCAGCTCATTTTCTTTTCTTTTCTTTTCTTTTCTTTTCTTTTCTTTTCTTTCCTTTTCTTCTTCCTTTTTTTTTTAAGAGTTGACTTTAAAAAATATATATATATATATATATTTTTTTTTATTGATTTTTTTACAGAGAGAAGAGAGCGATAGAGAGCTAGAAATGTCAATGAGAGAGAAACATCAACCAGCTGCCTCTTGCACCCCCCTCCCCCACCAGAGATGTGCCCACAACCAATGTACATGCCCCTGACCGGAATCGAACCTGGGACCTCTCAGTCCACAGACTGACGCTCTACTACTGAGCCAAACCGGTTTCGGCCCAGCTCCTTTTCTTGTGGAGCTCAAGAGGACTTGTTTACACGGTGCCTTCCATGGTGGCTTCGGGTCTGTCTGTCACCGTGGGCTGGGGCGGAAGGGTCAGGCTTACCTCTTCCCTATTCATTTTTTTTTTTATTCCATCAACACCCATATGTTAGTCACACACTTTATCACAACAGCCTTATGAGGCAGGCATCACTGTTTCCCTTTACAGAGGAGTAAACTGAGGCTCAGGAGATTGGCTCGCTTATGTGAGGTCCCACAGTGCTCTAGTTCCCCTAGACTTAGTGTTTAAAACAAAAGCTATTCTCTTGTGTTGTCTGTGGCTCAGAAATTTTGGAAGGGCTCAGCTGAGTGGTTCCAGCTTGGAGCCTTTGGTAGAAATGCTGTTAGACAATGTCTGGAGCTCGAAGAGCAGAGTACTGCTGGAACTATGGACATATTTCTATCATAGTCTCTCACATAGCTTCAGGGCCTCTCCCTGCAGGCCCACCTTGGGATTGGGCTTCCTCACAGCATGGCAGCCTCAGGATTGCTTGCATAGCTGTTCAGGACCCCAGCGGAAGTATTCCAGTAAGCAAGGGGTAGGCTACATCACCTTTGATGACCTTGCCTCAGAAGTTGCACAGTGTCTGCCATTTGTTTTGATTACAAATGAGTCACAAGCCCACCCGGATTCAAAGGCAGGAGACATTGACCATATCTCTCAGTGGAAGGAGTGTCAAGGTTATAGCATAGAATAGCATCTGAGATGGAGTTACTATTGCAGGCGTCTTTGAGAAATACAATCTGTCATGCATAGCATGTGGCAGAGCCAGGATTTGGATTAGATACATCTGATTCCAAAACTTCTGCTGCAACTCTTCTACCCAGTCCTCAGTCCTTGCGGACCTCTCCTTCTCGTTGAGCCCCTGTAGCTCCTACTGTTAGCATACACAAGCATGACTTGCTCTCCTTAAGCTGCCAGCTGCCTCTGTGGGCCCTGGCCACCGTGAGGCTGCCTTCAGGGTCTGCTGGTTAGAAAGGCCATGCTAGCTTGTGAACTTTTTAAAGAAGGGGACAGAGAAAGCCGGTCAGATCCAGAAGAGGAAAGCAGGTGGCAGCTCCAGAGCACAGCGGGCGGGCGGCAAAGGGCCTGTCATAAACAGCTCATCCTGTGTTTTTCCTTCTCCCACCAGGCACTGGCCTGGGATGACTCAGCCCTTGACAGGAAAGGTGCTTTCAAGTTGGAAAAGAGCCCAGGGTTGTGGAAAGCTCGCAGTTCTGCAGGCAGACACTCCTGATTTTAGTCCTGACTCCAGCATCGCTGGTTTTATGGCCTTGGACACGTCCTTCCCCTCCCAGAAAATGCCTTCCTCACTGGGTTGCTTTGACGATCAAAATGAATATGTAAACCAAGTACCCAGTGCAGTGCCAGGCACATGCCAACTGCTCCAAAAATGCCAGTGTTCATGTTCTGGGTCCTGCCCAAACCCAACTCAGGGTCTTTTTGAAGAAGGTGGAGCAAATTCACCTTCTGCAAAAGCTAGTCTAGCTCCAAGACCCTGGATGGCACAGTGGCCGATAATTCTCCTTGAAATAACAACTACACTGAGCTGTCTGAAGGCTGAGAAGGAGTTAGCCCTGTAATCCCTGTGGAGGGAGGGAGAGTGGTATAGGAAGACAGAATGGTGTAGGCAGAGACCCCCGGAAGGGGGAAAGTTCAGTATTCCTGCAGTGTGAAGGGCAAGGAAGGGGGTAGATGTCGGGAGGTAGCAAGCACAAGCCAAGAAAATAATCAGGGACTCAATTATGAAGGACCTTGTAAATAAAGTCCCCAAGTTTGAAATTTAAAGGCAACTGGGAGCCACTAAACAGTTTTATTCCGTTGGGTGACATGGTCAAGTCTGTGTTTTAGAACAGCTCCCTGGCTACATTGTAGAAAATGGGTGGAGGCAGGCAGTCAGGACAGGGTACAATAAGTCAGGGGAAAGGCCATACTGGCCTTGTCTAGGAGGATAGCCGGAGACTGGAGACAAGGGAAAAACTCAGGAGATAGGAGGTCTCATAGAGAACTGGTGGCAGTTTGGATGTTCTGAGGTGAGGGGCATGAGCTAAGTAATAAGTGCTTGGAATGAAGTCAGTTCAGAAGCCATGGAAATATGGGGCAAGGGGAGAGTGTCATGGAAGATTTTGCTAAAGAGATATCACCCAATTGAAGATTTGATAGGTCTAAATTAGTGAAGGGAAGAGACAGGAACTTCAGGAAGAGGAAATAGCTCATGTGAAGGCCCAGTACTATGAGATAAAATGCACTGAGCAGATATTCTGTGTAGTTGAATAGATGATTACTGTACTAATTTATACTAAGGTGTTAATGGACATTGTGGTCCCTAGGGAGTTTGTATTTTAATATAACTCTAAAGATTTATTACTGGTAGTTTTCAAGGTGGCATGGGGACACTATGTAGGATGAGAGGGTTTTGCCATTATCTCTGTGATTACCAAAGAAGGAGACAGATCTCTGAGGGTCAGGCAGGCCCTGCTCTACATACAACAAAGAATATCTTGCTCTTGGGTCTTATTATCAGCTTCCTGATGTACCTGATGCCACACTACGGAAGCCCAGTTATTCCCAAAGGGACTCACTATATTCTGAAAGCTATAAACACAGCCTTTGGGATAAAACTATTTAGACCCATAATAGTCTTCCCCTTCCTAGTTCTGTGGCCCTGGGCAAATTATAATCTCTGTGCACTCGCTTCCTCATCTGTTAAATGAGGAAAATATTAGTATCTACCATTGAAGGTATATGCAGATTCCAAAGATTGTTTCTACAAAAAGCGTTGAGTAGTGAGTGATACAACTGTTTTTAATATTGTAACCCATTATACTAGTCCTCTTCTTACTCTATCAGTCTCTTTTCCAAGTTACTCCTTAATGCACCCACTTGCAGATATGAAGCTGGGGCGGAACGTGGCCAGAACGTTTTTGGATTATTATCGGCTGGACCCCATGGCTGAGAAAATGGCGATTCCCATGCCAAGGTTGCGGTAAGTGGCCGAGCAGAGCAGTGTGGTCTGGAGTCTTGCTTTGTGGGCTTCACGTTCAGGGGCAACTTCCCTTAGCCTCTCTCTACCCTCAGTTTCCCATCAGTGGCACAGGAAAGAAATCCCAGCCCTGCCACAGAGTGTGTATGGGAAAGAAGAGCTTAACAGAGTATTTCCTGAGTATAAAGTATTATATGGGGTCGGACAATGAGGGGTGGTCACATTTCATGGGAGTCTGTAGGGATGGGCTTACGGGGAGCCGAGTGCAGTCATATTCTAACTTAGTCTGGTGGTATCATTTGCTATTTCATCTGATTGCTCATCCTCAGCGACTCCTATGTCATCCAGGCTCCTAAAGTGTCTTATCCTTCCATTTCCTCATCCATAAAGTCAGACAGGAGCACTCAGTTGGAAGATTATCATACACATGTCCCTTCGGTGCATGGTAGTTCCCTTCCCTCAAGACACAAAGATTCAGGGCTGGAGGGGACAATCCCCTGAGAAGGTTTGGCTCAGGTACTCCACTGGGGCAACTTCTTAAGCCAGTGAGGAGAGACGTCAGGAGATGAGTATTCTTCCTGAGGACTAGATACGAGCGCAAAACACTGGGCATCACCACACTTGCTGGAAGTGAGCTCAGTGAGCATTTGGGCATCTGGATTATGCAGCCTCTGCCCTGCCTCTTGGATTCATTTCCACTTCCCTTGTGGTCCAGCCTCCTTGAAGGACATGAAGATGTATAACTTACTGCTCCTGCCAGACCAGTCTTCCCACAGTCCTTGCCTAAGACCTTGACTATGTGCTTGCTGCCTCAGGGCCTTTGCACCTCCCTCCCTGATACATCTCCCTCCTTATTAATTATTAACAACAACAACAAAAATCCTATAGTGATCATTGTTCTTTATTGAGTGAAGTAATTGCTGTCCCTGATCCTATTTATTTATTCATTGTAAATGTTATATACTCCATATTGCAAATGAGGGAAAGAGAGCTCAGAAAGGTGAAATGAATTGCTTGAGGTCAGAGAATTTTTGTCAGAGCCAGAATCTGATCCTAGACTTGTATGATTTCAAAGCTAGACTGAGGCTCAGCTAAGTTCCACCTGGAAAGTGAGGGTTCAAATTCTCTGAGGCTTAATCTAACTGTGGGGCCTCTCAAAACTTTTCTCTATTTATCTATAAAGTTGGGATAATAACAATGACCTCTAAAGATGGTTTTAAAGATTATATACAAGCATGGTACAGTGTCTGGCAGCCAATAGATGGTCAATAAGTGCTTCCATCACCTCTGGTTTCTACTGTGTTTCTCCGAAAATAAGACATCCTCTGAAAATAAGACCTAACGCATGGAAAGATAAGACATCTCCTGAAAATAAGACCTAGCGCAACTTTGGGAGAAAAAATTAATATAAGACACTGTCTTATTTTTGGGGAAACAGGGTAGTTTGCAGTCCCAGATTTCCAAAAGGCTCTTCATGGTCTAGATAAGACCCTAGCCTTCTCTGGTTGAGCTGGATGATTTCTCAAAGCCCCAGTTAAACAGTGTTGTGAGTCACTAGCCCTGAGCCCCAGCTGCATGACAATGTACTCTGACTCATAGTCAGTCTCAGATTATTCACCAGTCATGGGGCTCTTTGTGCGCACATTCCCTCCCCCCCATCCTGGGAGAAGATTACATTTATTTCTTCTCTGTGCTCCCACATTGTCTAGACTGTACTGAGTGTGCATTCCTGTATTCATTCATTCAGGCAGGCAGTCATCCACTTAGGAAAACAGCACTTTATGCAAGGGCCCTGGGGAAAGGATGAAGCTGAATGTATAAATGATGAAGGCATGGCCCTGTCTTGAAGGGGCTCACCTCTAGAGAAAAGTACTCAGTTCTTTCTTAAAGGTCATTCTTGATTGGTTAAAGTTCTTAAAATTTTAAAGGTTTATAAAACTCAAAAGAACTCTTAGAATCTCATTTGTAAGTTAATTTGAGGATTCTCTCTCTCAGGTTTTCTCTCAGCCTGAATGAAATTATTTTGATCCTTAATCACTTTTTTCTTGCATGTTGCATTGTATCAGATCCATGGAATGGGGCTGACTGTCAGGGACTTTAGCAATCATCCAGGACCCCTACTCAGGATATGGATGAGGAAGACAGGGCTAGTCAGATGCAGGACTAGAGTCTGGACCCCAATATCCCCAGATTGATATCCTCAGCATCAGTTTGTGAAGAATTATTTGACATGGGGAGGGGGGCTGAAACGTGGTATAAATGATTCAGGGAAGTTCTCAGCACCCTGATTTCACTATTCATGGAAGCCCCTTGCCCTGAGCTTTGGAGCCCTCTTTAGAAAACAGTGGGAGAGTTCATTCCTCAGAGTTCAAAGCCTTGAGGACTTAAAGCAAATGCACCCACCCTTAAATGAAGGAAAACAAAAATAACTCCCTCTCCATCCCCGCACTGCTGACTCATCAAACCATGAATATCCCTTAGCTCTCAACTGGTCAGAAACTCTTTAAAAAATGTATTCCCAGGAGGACAGAAGGCTCTGACTTGGGATTTGAATAGTTCCAGTTTCTTGCATTATTTTCCACTCAAGCATCAAATAGCATAAGCAAATGAGCAGTTCTGGTTCTAAAGGAAAATTACATGTTTTGACTCAAAATTAATCATTGTTCTCTTTCATCTCTCTGGGTAATTATAATATGTCAGCTTTGAACCTTGTGCTGACAGAGCATGTCAACGTTGACCCCTGGGTCTTGGGCCATCACTAAGAAAGGGTGCCTGAGGACGGCCAATAAGGTAGGCCTAAGAGATCAAGCTTAGAGATGTGGTGTTGATGACCAAAACAGACCCCACACTTGACGGGACCACAGTGATAGTCGCAGGGCTAAAGCTCAAAATGCACCATCAAGATGCATGAAAATTAAATAGAAAACATGACCAAGCCAGGTGAGCCTCAGCAAGGAGACAGCTCTCCCCTCAACCCCTATATGCCACAGCCTATGAGGCAGGAAGGAGGTGGGCTCTTCTCATTATTTTATTTATTTATTTATTTATTTGATGTTTTACAGAGAGGAAGAGAGAGGGATAGAGAGTTAGAAACATCAATGAGAGAGAATCATCTATCAGCTGCCTCTTGCACACCTTCTACTGGAGATGTGCCCGCAACCAAGGTACATGCCCTTGACCGGAATCGAACCCGGGAACTTTCAGTCTGCAGGCTGAAGCTCTATCCATTGAGCCAAACCGGTTTTGGCATCTTCTCATTATTTTAGAAATGAAGACGAGGAGGCTCAGAGAAGGGAAAGGCCTTCTTCAAGGTCACATTGCCTATGAGCAGCATTCCAAGCATGCACTCCAGGCTGTCAATGGAAACGAAGGTCAAGCTGTGTCTCACCAGGCTAGATAGTCTTGCCATGTTGGCAAGATCCTTCTGTGAGCAACAGCCAGGCATTCTGTTTGGGACATGGGGTGTTAAAGTACGGTGTCCCTTTTGTATGCTACCTCCTATTGTATTTACCTTACTTCTGAGTCATCAGTAATGAAGGAAAATGGCTCTTCCAAGGTCATAACATAGAGGACTACAGGAAGACACTTCTTCAGTCCTAATTCAGATACAAGAGGTTGCCCTCCTCATGCCATTTACCACTTTCTGCCATGCACTATAGTTCTTTATTATTCTGTGTATTTTGTTCAGTTTTCTCCTTTACTAAACTTATGCAGCCCAAAAACAGCATCAATGGCTGAATCATTTTTGGACCATACCTAGCACTGGGCACCCTGCTTTTGTAAGTTACAATTGGCAAGGAATGACAGTAGGTATGTTTACTCATGTTGTTTAATTTAAAGTCACAATGCCCCTCCTGGGTTGGAATATTTTATTCCCATTTTACAAATGAAGCTCAGAGAAGTTAAATAACTTTACAAGGTCACATCTCTCATATATAGCAGTCCTAGGAATTCAGTTGAGTTCTGGCTCTGAAGCTCACTCTTTTCACTGTGAATCAATCTTAGTCTGAAGCATGAATGAGTGGCACACCAACTTATCAGTCACAACATAAGGCCCTGCATGAGGGAAAATGAAGAAATGGAACAACTTGGTGCCTGCGCACAGGGAGCTCATAGCCTACAGTGTGTGAGCAAACCAGACAGTGGATTATTACTGAAAAGTGATATTAAGGGTATTGCATTGAGTGCTGCCTGCTGGCTACTGGCTGCTATGACACAGGGGTGAACTAAACACATCTCTGACTTCCAAGAGCCCCCAGCCTGTGGGGAGATGGACCCATCATGAAATTTCTTAATCGGGCTGTACTGAGAAATATAAAGAGGGCTCTGGATCTCAAATGCTTGTGAAGGGAATTGGTCCTAGGCTCTCTCAAGCCATAACCCTTCTGTGTGTCCACCCTCATTTCATTGTGAATGGATAGAATGAGGTAGAATCAAGGTAGAAATGTGGAAGAGTTGAGCTGTAGAAAATTAGATTTCTTCCAGAACCAGAACTATGTGTCTATCCATCCATCCATCCACCCATCCATCTAACCACTATTCATTGAACCATTGTGCTTGCTTTGTACCATGCCCTGGATTGGGTTCCAAGGACAAGACAAGGCCACTGTTCCCAGGAGGTCCCAGTCCAGTGGGGAAGATAGATATGCACACTAATGATTTCTTATGGTGTGTATATGTGCTATCCTTCTTCTCTCTTTCTGTCATCTCCCCCTTTGCAGGAAAGAAAGACCCCCTCCCTACAAGTACCCACTCCGGCGGGGCCCGGCCAGCAGCTATCCCATCAGCAAAGGGGACAAGAAGAGCTCAGTGAACCACAAAGACCCTTCAAATGCTTTTTAAGGACATGAGGTCCTGGAAGGTCTTGTGGAGCATGCATTTTCTGCTAACATTAATCTCCTTCTAGTTTCCAAAAGAAAGGTTGTGGGATAAGGAATTAGCTAGTGAAAAGAGAAGGGGGGAAATGAGAAACTTCATCATTGATTTTCCCTTTTACCAATGGAAAAATCAATTGTAAGGCTTCAGCTTACAGCTCAGGAACAAAACAGGAGATGCAAACCAGGCGAGTACAGTTCTTTTTCCCACCACATAGAGATGCTCATGGGAAGAGAAAAACCTGCCCGACCCTTTGACAGGTTGGTCAGAAGTCTGTGCTCTCCAGCCCTTTCCCTGTCGAAGTTGTACAGTAACCACCTTTGAGAATAAGCTCTAGTTGTTCATAGTTTTAGAAAAGCTGCGCCCATATCTACTGATCCAAAGCAGCATCAACAACACATGCAACCCAAAGACCCTTGTACTGCTGGGAACAATGGGACAGAGTTTTTGAAATTACAGTGGTCTCAGACATTCAGTCACTTTATCTATGAGTTGTGTGCTCTCTGACTCCCCCAAATCCCAGCGTGCAACGTCAGAAAACTGTTCCTAGAGCTATTTCCCAATGGCCTGGGTGGTTTAATTGAGAATTTAGCTCCAAAGACAAAAAAAAAAAGTATTGGTCACTCAATCTTTAGATTCTGGTGTCACAGATCCAGCCTGGCCACCAAGAGGCAGGCATTGACAATCTGAAAGGGGGGGAAGGCTGATGGCCAGGTAGGGGAGATACAAAAGACAAAAAGATGCGCTCGCAGGCAGGTGATAAAATAAAACAACAGCAGCAGCAATTCCCAAGTTGGGGCAAGCTTAATGTTGTGCATTTTTCTAAAGAGTTAAGTGCCTTTGTATGATGAATGGGACCCGGAGAGTCTGCTCCCTCCCTGTCTGGGAAGCAGCAGGCTGAGTCACCGCGCGACAGCCTGCTAATTAAAGTGACCTCCCGGAAATGAGGATTAGGAGGTAGGGAGAGGAAGGGATGCTCCAGGGAGATAGGGCCTTTAGCACAAAGCTCCAGTTAAGCACTTTTTTGCTTTGGGTTGAAGATTTTCTAAGTTTGATGCAAAAAAATATGAAGAGCAAAGCGTGTTCTTCCTTTGCTTATTGGTTTTCAGAAATTATAACAAACAACCATATGTTTGCTGGCTACAAGTGTTGTGTTGTGTATACAGCTTTTCCCCAGGGTGCTCATTGCCCAGAGGACCATAAATAAAGTGGTTGATGCAGCTCTTCTGTCCCTCCGAGTATTCTTGGCATCTTTCCCTTTGGGTCTTCTATTTCTTTGAGATTCAACCAGACAACCTCACTTTGTGGTCAGGGACTCTATAACCAAGATAAGGAAAAACGATTGAAACTTAACTTTCCAGCAGTTGCCATGTCAGAGTGCTGGAAATTTATTTGACTGCAACCAGCTCAACATGAGGCAACAGGGCGGCAGGCCCTTCAGAAAGGATAGCTTCTCTTGAGGCAGCATAATCTGAGGCAAATTGCATAAAATAAGGGAGGTGATAGTCCAGATCTATTTTCCCCTGGTCAGACTGTTTCTATATGTTGTGGGCCCCACTTTTAAAAATCGCTTTGATTAATTGGATCATAGGCCTCTCAAGCAGCGAATGTGTTCATAGTTTATAAGCAAAACACATGGAGCCAGGCAACTCTGGGTTTTGATTCTGCATCCTAACACTGGTTCTGTCTCTTAATATCTGGGTGATCTTGGCTATGTTATTGAACCTTTCTGAATCCTAGTTTTCTCACCCATAGGATGGCAATAGTAATGTCTATCTCATTATGTAGGCTTAATAAATTTGGGTGTAGGAAATGACAAGAAAAGGTGCTCAATAAATGATAGCTATGCTACTGATAGTACAACTAGGATGAATGAGTTGTCTGAAAATCATTTTCCATTAAAAATGCAAGAGGAGACTGAAGCTGTTTGTCCTTGAGACAAAAACCTAAGAGGGAGCAGAAGTAGGAAGGCAAAATGACAATCTGTATTTTGGACATTCTTTTTGTCCAAAAGAAGCAAACAGATTCAGGGAAGTAGTCTCAGTAAGATGGATTTTAGGTCCAAATGAGGAAAACTTTCTAATGAAGAGAGCTATCAATCATTGGATGAGCTCCCGTGGAAACAGTGAGCTCCCCATCACCAGAGGTATGCAAGCAGAGTCTGAATAAACATTTGTCATGGAGGAAATGAGGGACTCTTCTCTAGGGGGATGTTGGATGCTCTGCAGCATTGCCTTCTAGTCTGTAACTCTGAAATGACCTGAGGCAGGAGGTTATATAACTGATGTCAGAGAATGGATTGTGCAGTATGAAAAATATCTTTTAATGCTAAATGAGTGCCATAAAATGTCTCTAAATTACAGCATATGGATTCCATGAACATTTAGCATTCCTTTAGTCCAGCAATTTCCAGCTGGTATGCCATGGCACAAGAATTTTAAAACATGCAGTATCTGACTATTTAGTCAGGGGCACTGACCTCTTTTCCCTTAGATTGTCAAATAAAAGAATGACAACAGCCAATACAACAATAGTTGTCTGGTGTGAATGAATCAAAATCATTCCTAATTTTTGGGGGGGTCAAATCAGCAAAAAGTATAATTTTTGGTGTGCACAGAATTTTATTAATTAGTTTATGTGCGCCATGAGGTGGAAAAGGTTGAAATTGCTGCTTTAGAGGAAAAAATATATGGATATAAGGCCAACTGTAGGATATTTTTGCAATAGTACTGTCTGCTTCTTCACATTGGAAAAGCAGAGTGGAAAAGCCTGACTAAGAGAAGAGGGGTTTCAAGTGGACCTCCTGAGACCTTGGCCTGCTCAGCAACCCCCTAGTTTTTCTGGACCAGGTTATACCCATGATCTCAAGTTAGAGGAGAAGGGTTTCAGCACTGAAATGAAGGACAGCACCAACCCAAGGGACTGTTGGGATCAAACAGACAACGGATGCGAAGGCCTCTAATGCAATGCCTGGCACACAGTAAATTAGATCAATACATGTTTGGTAGATGTATGAATTGATGCTCAATGAACGTTAATCACTCCAGATTTCTATGGTTGGCACTGTTCTTACAACTTAAGAAAATAAGTTGGGGTCCTCTTAGGCAAGCCTCAGAGGTGCCATTGAATTACCTTGAAAGGATAGAGCCCATCCTGTGCCCCTCTCCTATTCAAAGGCAATAGGAAAAACTAGCTAATGACCCCCTGCTGCTGCTGCTGCTACCAAGCTAACAATATCATCAGGGCTGGAACCCAGCCTCTGCTGTGGCCTTAGCACAAGAATCTGGGGGGCTCCTGATTGCTTATTGCAGTTTTTGAGGCTGAACAGACCTTCAGTTCAGTCTCTAAGCCTCTGGACTGATGCCAAAATTAAACAAACAAACAAAAACAACAACAATAACAAAAAACACACAACAATCCTAGCATTGTTTATAAAGGGTTATGTGAGAGCAAGGTAGAGGCCCAGCATGTCCCTCCTCCCTCCATCCTTCCTTTTTGTACAGTTTGTCTCCTTCCCTCCCCTCAGAACACTGGTTGGTAGCAGATACTACCCTTTATAGCTGCTTTTGGCTCTATCCTGAGAAGGAACTGGGCAGGCGAGATGAGAGACTAGAGCGCCCCCTGCTGGGTATCAGCAAGCAACACTGTCTGGCTTTGTGACAAGTAAATCTCACCCTGTCTGGAGTTACCCCAGAGCTTCAACTGACTTCAGTTTCTTACTCTTTGATAGGGTGACATCCCCAGGCAACCTACTCCCAACGGTACTATGAGGCTATAATGAGAGGATGAAATGGGAAAGTACTTTATTTAAAAAAGCATTTCCCAGTATTTTCTCATAAAGTCCCCACTTGGTCCACTCTTTGCCTTTGACCTGGATGGCCCGGTCACGATCATCCAACAAAATGCATTAAACATCTTGTATTTGTTGAGTGCTTCCCATTCCTCTCTGCAGCCCTGCTTTCTACCTATCCTTCAAGACCTCCCTTCAGGAAGTCTTCCCTGACCTCCCAGCTCTCACAAATAACTTTTCCTCTGGGCTTTTAAGAGAACTCTTATCTAAACATTCATTTTTGGGGATTTAGAAATGGCTTTGGTATTTCACTTTTCCTGGGTATCAACTTTGTTTTCCCAACTCAACTTTGCATTGTTTTGGGGGCATGATGATTTGAGATGGCAAAAATCAGCATTATTCACTGCTCAGAGCCCAGGGCCCTGCAAAGGCCAGGCAGAGGATAACCATTCTGTGGGAGTCTTCATGTATTGTTGATGCAACACTGATGGGAATGGGGTGGCTGCTCTGAGCAGAATATTTCTGTAAGATGGACATCGCTCCTCTTTCTACCTTTGGATGTTTCTAAACAAGGGCAACCCCCTGGGCAAAGTGGCACAAACCTAGCTTGCAGGCCCATATACAAAGTTGTCAAACTTTAAAGCTAAATGCATCCATGGGAGAGAGAAAAAGACGGGAGACGGATGAGGAGAGGTTGGGGGAGGGTGACAGATAATTGACTGTGGTGGATCTGAGTGTAAGTGTGCATGTGTGTGTGCATACTAGCCTAGTTATATTATGTATGAGGCTTTTGTAACTTCTTTATATTTGAGTGTGAAAATGCATGAGTGTGTGTACCAGTATTTGTGAATGCTTTTGTGTGCACATCACTCAGTACTAGATGACAGATCATTGTTGATTCTAAGCATATTTTCACTTCAACTCCTAGTCAGAGGTCCTAGGTTTCATTTTTGTTTGAAATTCTATCTTCTCTGTTGACATCTCATCCATATTAATGGGTCACCCCTGTGCCCGGCCTCCCTGGACGGTGCCCAATGGGATGTCAGGGCCACCTCTCTTGCCCAGCCCCAGTGGAGGCTGATGCTAATTCTATCCAGCCAGACCCTTGGTGGACAGCTCACCCAGAGCCCATTTCCTGACTGCTAGCTGGTGATCTCATGTTCACATCTCTTTCTGG